GGAAAAGGGGTTTGTGTCCTGTTCAAAAGCGATATAAAGAGTGCGACGAACTTTCGTCCCGCCGCAGTAGAGGAAACTTCAACTGACAATCCAATTAGGTTTCTGCAGGGAGTTATATGGTTTTTCATTGTGGCGTTTATAGGAGAATTCATAGGGTGCAAGTTCCTCTAAACGCTGAACCCCAACACCCTAAACCCAAAACCGTCAACCCTACACACCCTAAACCCTAAAACCCTTAACCCTGAAACCCTAAACCCTAAAACCATAAACCCTGAAACCCTAAACCCGAAACCCTGAACCCTAAGACCCTCAACCCGGTTCAACACCGGAGGGTGCCGATATCCTAACCTAGTTGTCGGAAACATTAGTCGTTTCATTCCCTTCGAATCCTTAACATACATACAGTATTTTATGCTATATACATATTTATGTATCTACAAAAATATATGTGTGTGTATATATATATATAGATATGTTATATGCCAGTGCCTTCTTCAAATTATTCTGGTCCCTTCATTTGCTCTTTTTTACTGCATGTAGAAAACTCTTAGCTGCTGTTCTTTGCAAGTTAAATTCCACCAACTGCTACAGTTACATGTGCCTAGTTTTCCCTTCCACTTGTAGGTACAACGGAGGTGCAGTGATAAGTCGCTTACAAGTCCAAGAAGAGTCTGTAGACTGGTGTCCATGAGCCTGTGAAACCCTGAACCTAAAGCCCAAAACCTGGATTCAGCTTTCAGGCTGTGATGCCATATGCCCAGACGCAGGGGCAGCCGCCGGGTGGCACAGGATTTATGAAGATGTCGGAGTAAGTAGCAATCATCTTGCCTTAGAGTCCGTGTACAGTTATACGATAACATACCCCCCAAACCCCTATGCTAGCATTGAAGAACGTGTATGAGGAGGGTCGTACACCCTCGCTTACGAACGGGATCCTCGTGGTGCAGCCTTACGAGGAGGGTTTAGGGGGCTTAGGTTTTAGGGTCTAGGGTTTAGGGTTCAGTTTAGGGTTTTTGGTGTGCATCAAAACTTGAATTTGCTATAAATACCGCATACGCCACCATTTGGGGTTTAGGGTTGAGGGAGTATAGGTCCGCACAGCATGAACCCCCAAATCCCCTCGACCGTAGACCCTAAAATCCAAACTCGAAGCCCTAAACCCTAAACCCCTAAACCCAGTCTGCGGTCGGAACAAGGAGCTACATGAAAGAACCAAACAACCCGACAACCCTAAACCCGACAACCCTAAACCGGACAACCCTAAACCCGAAATCCTGAAACCCGACAACCCTAGACCCGAAGTCCTGAAACCCTAAACCCGAAACCTCCCCCCCCGGCACTCAACGGCGAGTTCAGACCCTCGAGACAGGATCGTGTGAGGCTTTGAAGGGGGCTTGTAAGGCACCTAGTCGTATTTATAAGGGATCCCTAAAGTTTCATTCAGGGTTTAGGGTTTAGGGTTTTAGGGTTTAGGGGTTTAGGGTTTAGGGGTTTAGGGTTTAGGGTTTAGAGGGTTTCTCAGGGAGTCACCAGGTCTTTACCGGGATGTAGAAGAGATGTATTAGGATGTACAAAGGATCTATCAGGATGTACACGGGATCTATGCGGATTTATAGGGGATCTGGTTAGGATTTATAAGGGTGCCATAGGGGTTCATAAGGAGTCTTAGTGCCTCATACGGATTTGTTTGAGGGTTGTATGAGGCCTTACACCCTAAACCCTTAAACCCCTCAACCCCTCAACCCCTCAACCCCTTAACCCCTAAACCCTAAACACCTAAACCCCTAAACCCTAAACACCTAAACCCCTAGATCCTAAACCCCTAAACCACTAAACCCCTAAACCCCTAAACCCCTAAACCCCTTATCCCCTAAACCCTAAACCCTAAACCCCTAAACCCTAAACCCCTAAACCCCTAAATCCTAACCCTAAGCCCGAAACCCCTAAACCCCTAAACCCTAAACCCTAAACCCTAAACCCTAAACCCTAAACCCTAAACCCTAAACCCTAAACCCTAAACCCCTAAACCCGAAGCCCTGAAGACTCTCTGTTTGAGAGCC